TTCCCAGGTTAAAGTGCCAAAAGAATACAGTCCAAACATTTTACCATGATTATATGTAAGACCCTCCATGATCTGGCCTCAAGCCACTTTGTCAGGTTCATCCCTTCTCTGTTTTTCCACTTACCCAATGGATTAGTCACCATTCCTTGTTCCTAATATGCACTTTTTTTTCTTTGAGACAGAGTCTCACTCTGTCACTCAGGCTGGAGTGCAGTGGCACAATCTCGGCTCACTGTAATCTCTGCCTACCAGGTTCAAGCAATTCTCGTCTCAGCCTCCCGAGTAGCTGGGACTATAGGTGCATGCCACCATACTCAGCTAATTTTTGTATTTTTAGTAGAGATGGGCTTTCACCATGTTGGCCACGCTGGTCTCCAACTCCTGACCCCGGGTGATCCACCTGCCTTGACTTCCCAAAGCGCTGGAATTACAGGTGAGAGCCACCATGCCTGGCCTGATCTGTACTTCTATGACAGAAACTTCAGCCCTGAATTTTCACTCTTTGACTGTTAAAATGCCATTCACCTACCACTTCATATAGCTGTAATAAAAAAGACAGTAACAAGTGTTGAGCATGTGCAAAAACTGCCACCCCTACACTGCTGAAGGTAATATAAAATGATGGAGGTGGCTGGGCATGGGGGTTCATGCCTGTAATCCCAGTACTTTGGGAGGCCGAGGCAGGTCAATCACCTAAGGTCAGGAGTTCGAGGCCAGCCTGGCCAATGTGGCAAAACCCCATCTCTACTGAAAATACAAAAATCAGCTGGGTGTGGTAGTATGCGCCTGTATTCCCAGCTACTCAGGAGCCTGAGGCAGGAGAATTGCTAGAACCTGGGAGGTGGAGTTTGCAGTGAGCTAAGATAGCACCACTGCACTCCAGCCTGGGTGACAGAGCAAAACTCCAACTCCAAAAAAAAAAAAAAAATAGTTTAGCAGTTCTTAAAAAGGTTAATCATGCAGTTACCACACACCCAGCAACCCAAGAGAAATAAAACTGATGTCCACAAGACAACTTCTACACAAGTGTTCACAGCACCATTACTCAAAAAAAAAAAAAAAAAAAAAAAAAAAAATGGAAACAGATCGAACATCCATCAGACAATGAATAGAGAGCAGGTTCCATAAAATAGAATATTTGAAAATAGAAAGGAATGAAGTGCTGAAACAGGCCACAACATGGGGGAACCTTAAAGGCATGCTCAGTAAAGGCCACATGTTATGTGATCCCATTTATATGAGATGTCCAGAATAGGTGCCAATCTACGGAGACAGAGAGTAGATGAGGGGCTGCCTAGGAATGGGTATGCTGTCCCTTTCAAGGATGACAAAAATGTTCTAAAGTTAGACAATGGGGATGGCTGCACAACGCTATAAACAAACAAACAAAAGCCATTGAAGTGTCAACTTTAAACAGGTGAATTTTATGGTATGGAAACTGTATCTCAATACAGCTATTTAAACCTTTTGGGGTTTTTTTTGTGGCTGAGTATCACTCTGTCATCCAGGCCGGAGTGCAGTGGTGTGATCTTGAATCACTGCAACCTCTGCCTCCCAGGTACAACTGATTCTCCTGCCTCAGCCTCCCAAGTAGCTGGTATTTCAGGCACCTGCCACCATGTCCATCTAATTTTTGTATTTTTAGTAGGGATGCGTTTTCACCATGTTGGCCAGGTTGTTCTCGAACACCTGACCTCAGGTGATCCACCCGCCTTGGCCTCCCAAAGTGCTGGGATTGCAGGTGTAAGCCACTGGGCCCAGCCTCAGTGTAAGCTTTTTTTTTTTTTTTTTTTTTTGAGACGGAGTTTCACTTGTTACCCAGGCTGGAGTGCAATGGCGCGATCTCGGCTCACCGCAACCTCCGCCTCCTGGGTCAGGCAATTCTCCTGCCTCAACCTCCTGAGTAGCTGGGATTACAGGCACGCGCCACCATGCCCAGCTAATGTTTTGTATTTTTAGTAGAGATGGGGTTTCACCATGTTGACCAGGATGGTCTCGATCTCTTGACCTCGTGATCCACCCGCCTCGGCCTCCCAGAGTGCTGGGATTACAGGCTTGAGCCACCGCACCCGGCTCAGTTTAAGCTTTTAAACAAACTACTCCTCCTATAATGCCCAGTTCCTTTATAAAACTTGATCTGACCCCTTCCTCGTTAACAGCTGTTACTGGGGATTCCAGCTAATCCCAACTTCTTCAGTTCCTGCAGTTGTAATTTACATCTCGAATCACTGCTTTCTTCTTTCTGCAATCTGACCTAGTATTTAAAGGATTCTAAAATCAGGTATCTGGGGTTTTAAGTCCTCACTTCAACCCTTGCTAGGCATATAAAGTTATGTAATCTCTTTGTGCCTCAATTTCCTCATCTGCAGAATGAGGAAAATAAGACCTACCTTGTAAGACTTTTGGGTGCACAAGGGGGTTAACACACATAAAAATGCCAACAGTGCCTGGCACATTGCATAGGCTGGATGTGTAAGTGTTAGCTTTTATTATTGTTGTATTATAGCTAACTCTATATGCCTGTCTCTTTGCTCTCTACCAGTTCATATTTTAAGGTCCTAAGGAAATAGAATCAAATCTTGTTTGATGTGTCTTGTATTTCCCAAAGAGGAAGACTATTATCACAGACTGGCAGGAGGAGAGCAGCACGGGGCTGTGGCTGTAAGCTCAGGAATACCTGACTTCACCAGGGCCGTGACATAGCAGCAGGTGAGCAAATTTAATCCAAACCAGGGGCCTAACTTGCAGAAAAGATCAGGAAACAGAGTCCCAGAAAGTGTTCCTTAAAATTTTCTACTTCCAAATGCAGAGAAGTGCCAAACACATGAAGAAGTCAACAGACATGTCTAAATTTTCACATTTACTCCAATTCCTCTATGTTTTTCATTTATTCATTATTACTGAGTACCAATTCTGTACCAAGTGCTGGAGTCTGGAAATCCACACCCTTGCTTTCCCAGGCAGATGTCTTCCCCATAGTAATAAGAAAAGAGATTCAGGGTGCCTACCCCTAAACAAATAAATAAATATGTGCACTGTTTGCTCAAACATAAATCACAAATCCTATACTTACAAAAAGTTATTCAAAAGTTAAAGAATTTTTTTTATTATTTAATTTTAGGCACTTGCCATTAATGTAATTGATCTAAAAGAATAGTAGATTGCATCTGGCGTAAGTGGACAGAAAAATCCCAGCACTTTGGGAAGCCGAAATGGAAGGATTGCTTAAGCCCAGGAGTTTGAGATCAGCCTGGGCAACATGGCAACACGGCAAGACCTGTCTCAGAAAAAAAAAAAAAAAAAAAAAAAAGGAAAAGAAAAAGAAAAAAAAAGTACAGATCAATGTAGTATTTATGGAAGCAAAGTTCTAGCAACTAGGTTATTTATTAGAACCTAAAGTATAACATGACATGTTTTCTTATTTTTTATTTTTTGAGACAGAGTCTCATTCTGTCACCCAGGCTGGAGTGCAGTTGTGTGATCCTGGCTCGCTGCAATCTCTGCCCCCTGGGTTCAAGCAACTCTCCCGCCTCAGCCTCCTGAGTAGCTGGGATTACAGGTGCATGCCACCAGGCCCAGCTAATTTTTGTATTTTTGTAGAGACAGGGTTTCACTATGTTGGCCAGGCTGGTCTCGAACTCCTCACGTTGGGTGATCCACCCGCCTCGGCCTCCCAAAGTGCTGGGATTACAGGTATGAGCCACTGCATCCGGCCTAATATGGCATCTTAAATATAGCATTAAAATGCACATCAATTAGAGAAGCAAAATATTTTTCCCCAAACTTTATAGAAACACTCCTCTGCAAGTGAGATTAAATTAAAATATTCCATTCCAAATTTTGTGATCACACACACACAATTCTGAGGACTCTAAAATTCTTGCATTTGAGCATGATCGTTAGTGCTGTATAACGGTGCTACTAGCAACAACATATTCTAGGCCAGAACCAAACAACTTAAAGGCTGGAAGAAACCCAAAGTGCTTGAATTCCTTGATTTAGATCAGATAATTTAGAAGCTGCCAGTTTAACCTGCAAAGGCCTTTGTAGCTATCTCTATCTCATGACCCGTTCATATCCTTCACAGGAAACCTTCAGTTCCCATAGCCCTCTACGAGGTACTGTTGTTGTTTTTACTGCTTATACTATTTATACAGCCAGCTTCTCTTTATTTTCAAATGAACAAAAGGTGTGCTTTAAAAATTCGCCCCAGTATCTGGTTTAGTCATTATTCCCTGAGGCATACCACATTAATGTTTACATTTCAAACGAAAGTGCACACGAATAAATTAGAAGAAAAAAAATACTTTAACTTTGGCACACAACAGTTGTTAAATAAATATTTGCTGAGTGAATAAACCTACCAAAGAATCCATATCTGTACAAACTCAGGTAGAAGTATGAAATAATCCAATACGGCCTAGATTCATACGTGGGGATTTCTTTTATAGTAGTTTTTGTTACTGAAGACTTATGGACTTGGTGGCAACAAGAAGCATTTTGTTGTTGAGATGAAAACAAAGTAAAAAAGCTATTCAACATAGTATCTGGACTATTTTCAACAGCCTGGATACAACTGGGACCTTACGGGGGAAATGACAAGGCAGGGTCATCTTTCACTTCATGAAGTATACTCTGGGATATGTGGAAGCCAACGTTAGAGAAGTAAAAATTAATTTATCACTGGGACTATACCAGAGTTGAAAGGTATGGCATGCAACTTATTCCTACTTCCAAAGTAGGTACTGAAATAGAATTTTAATTTCAGTAAGTGAAGAAAAGCCTCAGGACTCTAGTTCCCAAACTCTGCTGCACATTGGAATCACTTGGGGATTTTTAAAAAACATACTGGCTTCCAGCCCCAAACGTTCTGATTGAGCTGCCTTTGGGTATAACTTGGGCACTGGAGTGGGGTGGAGTGGTGGCATTAAAGCATCACAGGTGATCCTCTGGCAATCACTGCCCCAGGGTTCTCAAATACACGACTTGCAACAACTTACACCTGAGGTCTGAGGATCTTCAGCTGAGTGAGGATGTCCTTCTGTACCCTGGGATTAGCTGTGGCCGTAAGAGCCATCACTGGAACAGAAGGAAACTTCTGGCGAAGCATATTCATTCTTTTGTAATCTTGACGAAAATCATGTCCCCACTAGTTGGAAAAAAAAAATACTGCTTTTCAGACTATTTGGAGCTTCCTTCTATAAATAGCCAATCATGCTCAATATATTAAGAACCACCTTATTCTTCAGTAAAATAGCAGACTAGTTCACTCGATGTAGGTTTTTCTTCAGTACTGAATGTACATATACTGTTGGTAGTATGTATTTACTGATATTTCTGGATATAGAAAACCATATTTACCTGACTGACACAATGTGCTTCATCAATAACAAAACGTGCCAAGAGCTTCCTCTCATAGAGATTCTCCAGAGTAGAGATGAGTCTGTTACTTGCACAGATCTAGACCAGAAATATATTAGACATTTAAAAACACTGAAACACATCACCTTAATGATTCTGTTGTCTTCAAATTCCATTACAACTTAAGCTGTATTAAAACCTCCATATAAAATTAGTTCTTATTTCAATCTATGAAGAGAACAGCAGAAGTAACAGAAAACAGTAAACCACATTTTAGAATGTTCACCAACATTCAGCGAATAGCTTATTCAGCAGGTTAGTGGTTCTAAAACGTTTGTCTGCTTCAATACGTCTGAAGGCCACCACACATTTACATTGGCAACAGGGCTACATATCTGGGTTATATGGATGCATGTTGGCTGGGGGAAAAATTATGTATCTCATAGCTGTCTTCATAACAGGGACCAGAAGCAATGATATCTCAGTAGCAACGAGCACGTCTAGCACTCACATCTTGACAGGGACATGTCAAAAGGACAGAGAAGCCAGCTTGATAGAGATCTCCCACTGGTCACATCTCGGACAATTAGAACATCACAATATGTGATAATGATTGTAACCTATTGAATAAACTAAGAAGTCATGAGTTCATGCTGGTATTAATAAATATGTGGGCTGCGCGCAGTAGCTCACACTTCTAATCCCAGCACTTTGGGAGGCGGGTGGATCACTTAAGGTCAGGAGTTCCAGACCAGCCTGGCCAATGTGGCAAAACTCCATCTCTACTAAAAATATAAAAATTAGCCAGGTGTCCCAGCACATTCCTGTAGTCCTAGCTACTTGGGAGGCTGAGGCAGGAAAATCACTTGAACCCAGGAGGTGGAGGTTGTGGTGAGCTGAATTGTGCCACTGTACTCCAGCCTGGGTGACAGAGACTCTACCTCAAAAAAAAAAAAAAAAAAGTGAAATCAATGGGAAAACTCTTCCTCATGGCAAAATGCCAACTACATTTTAAAAATAATTTTATATCTATTATAGTAATAATTGATTTGAGGAAGAATCATTAATGGATACTAAAACTTGTGGGTAAAAGTCTGATGGCTAACAGGGTATTTACATAGTCTCAAAGCATTTCACAACAGTATATCTACTGATTCCAAAGCCCAAAAAGAAAGAGTAACTTTACAGTGGAGAAGTCTATGAGACACTACCATAACCAAGCGATCAGTTAACTAAAATCTTCAGGAATGGGACAATCAACATCACATGCTTCCTGACAGCGAGCATGAGAACATATTACTGTTTCTGTGATATTCAAGGAGGAAAAGAATCTAAGCAGGAGGAAACAAGATATACTCAAAGTGAGGACTTGTAGTCAAAGACTAGCCTTCAAAAATGTCAAAATCCCGACAGCCCGAAGAGAGAGAAACGGTTTACAAGATCAGAGAAGACACTGAATGCGATGCATGACCCGGGATTTTCTTTTGCTGTAAAGGACATTATTGGGACAACTTGTGAAACCAGAATAAAGTTTACAGATTAAGAAATGGTATTGCATCAGTGTAAGTTTCCTAATTCTGATCATTCTACTCAGGTTATATAAGAGAATGCTTTGTTTTTAGGAAACTCATGTGAATTACTTAGGGTTTAAAAGGATATCACGTCTGCAACTTACAATAAAATGTTTCAGGAAAATATATGTAGAGAAAGAATAACAAAGCAATTATAGTAAAATGTTACTTAACATTTGGGGTTTCTGGCTGAAAGTTATATAAAAATCCTTCGCACTATACACAAAAAATTTGTTAAAAGTTTAAAAATATATGTATCCTATTGGTCTTTAACGTATTTTAAAATAATGATATAAATACAAACCTTCTCTGGAGTGACATACAGAAGTTTTATGATTGGGTCTTTTTTTGATAACTGAAGGTAAATATTTGTAGCTTCTGAGTCAGTCTTATCACCTGTCAGATATGTAGCTGGAATCTAGGCATAAAAGTAGTAAACAATTTCAATTTTATACATTAACCCAACGAGACTACATTTGTTCTTAGGTTTTATAAATATTTTATTAGTCACATATCAAGCCTATCAAAGGAAATCATCTCTCTATTAAAAAGTATATAAGTACATATATTTTTAAAAACCTTTATTGATTGATTGATTGATTGATTGACAGAGTCTCACTTTTTCGCCATGCTGGAGTGCAGTGCCATGATCTCGGCTCACCTCTGCCTCCCGGGTTCAAGCGATTCTCCTGCCTCAGCCTCCGGGGTAGCTGGGACTACAGGTGCGTACCACCATGCCCAGCCAATTTCTGTATTTTTAGTAGAGACGGGGTTTCACCATGTTGGCCAGGATGGTCTTGATCTCTTGACCTTGTGATCCACCCACCTTGGCCTCCCAAAGTGCTGAGATTACAGGTATGAGCCACCATGCCTGGCCTTAAAAACCCTTATTAAGCATAACTCAAGACGGGCATGGTGGCTCATAACTGTTATGTCAGCACTTTGGGAGGCTGAGGCAGGTGGATCATTTCAGGTCAGGAGCTTGAGACTAGCTTGCCCAACATGGAGGAATCCCATTTCTACTGAAAATACAAAAAGTAGACTGGCGTGGTGGTGGGTGCCTATAATCCCAGCTACTCGCAAGGCTAAGACAGGTGAATTGCTTGAGCCTGGGAGGCAGAGGTTGCAGTAAGCCGAGATTGCACCACTGCACTCCAGCCTTGGCAACAGAATAAGGCTCTGTCTGAATTAAAAAAAAAAAAAGCATAATACAAAATGGTCTTCTCATTGTTTATTTCCTTTTCTTGCTTTATTTTTCATATTCGTAAATAAGATAAACATGAATTTAGCATACAAGATATTCCAGTCCTAATGCATGGGTTTTTTTTTTTTAGATAAATGTATTTCAGGGTTTTAATGAATAATGACAATGAAGGGGCCATCGTATCACAAATGGTTGAACAATGGCCACCATCGCTGCACTAAGACATTCTTCGGAAGAAAACCAAACTAGTGGTCTTACTGAGGGGTGGTGACTTGTAGCTCTTAAAACAGTTCTGTTTAATCACAGTGTGAAGACTGACTGAGTCAGGGTCTCACTTTCACACCAAGGTTAGATTGTAGTGGCATGACCATGACTCGCTGCAGCCTCAAACTCCTGGGCTCAAGTGACCCTCCTCCCTCAGCTTCCTAAGTAGCTGGGACCACAGGTGTTCACTATAGTGTCCAGCGCATTTTATTTTTCTGTAAAGAAAGTCTTGCTGTGTTGCCCAGGCTGGTCTTGAATTCTTGGCCTCAAGCAATCCTTCCACCTTAGCATTCCAAGTCACCGGGATTACACGCATGAGCCACCACCCCCACCGACAATGTGAACAGTTAGGTAGAATGCATTCATTTACTTCCTTAAACTCAGCCATGAGGAAAAAAGACATGCACATGTGTATGCATTTTAAGATACAAGGGAAAGGGAACTATGCTGATCTGGCAGTACTGAAAAAAGAAACGCTTTTCTATTAGTTAAAAAAATTTACATCAGCAAAAAAATAGCGTTGGTTAAAAGTTCTTACTAAAATACATTCTCGTAGAATAAAATCCAACTGAACTACAGGTTACCTATATGGAATTTTCAAAGACTTCTGTTTAACTGCACAACTTAATTTAACTGTTGTGCTTTATTTTTACAAATCGTGAACTATATAATAAAAAGTTATCCAGAGGACTGAAATTTGTTTCTAAGGCATGTTTTTATTAGTATTTTTATAACTTACATCCAAGGAAGTCAGCTTTTGGACTTGATCTACTATTAGTGATCTCAAGGGAGAAATGACAATCGTGACCCCAGGAGAAACACAGGCGGGGAGCTGGTAACACAAACTCTTACCACCTCCTGAAAGAGAAACAATGACATTATATCTGTCAGGTTCTATCTTGAGAGCATGAATGTAAAAGTTTCAAAAGAAATCACATAATTAATAGGACACCAAGGCATATTGGCCACAGTGCCAACAATTTGCCATACTCAAATGACTCAAACTATTATATTTAGGCAATTTAAATAATGTGTAAAAATGACCTTAAAAAAAAATTTTTTTTTTTTTGAGACAGAGTCTCATTCTGTTGCCCAGGTTGGACTGCAGTGGTGCAATTGGAGCTCACTACAACTTCCACCTCCCAGGTTCAAGTGATTCTCCTGCCTCAGCCTCCCCAGTGGCTGTGACTACAGGTGCACACCACCACATCCTGCTAATTTTTGTATTTTTAGTAGAGATGGGGTTTTACAATGCTGGCCAGGCTGGTCTTGAACGCCTGACCTCAAGTGATCTGCCTGCCTCAGCCTCCCAAAGTGCTGGGATTACAGGCATGAGCCACTGCTTGTGGCCTAGGACATCTTATATAGACATATACAATAGCAAAGACAAGAATTAGGGCAGGAAACTTCAAATGCAATGGAATACAGTAAACTTTTCATTTCTAGTAGAAGAATCTCTAAAAATGACACTAGGATTAAAATAATTAATTTCTATATAAAGCTTATTTATTTTTATTATTTATAAGTCCCATTGCTTTGGGAGGCTGAGGCAGGTGGAATGCTTGAGCCCAGGGAGTTTGAGACCAACCTGGGCAACATAGTGAGATCCCCTCTCTACAACAAATTTAGAAATTAGCAGGTGTGGTGGCACACGCCTGTAGTCCCAGGTTCTTAGGAGGCTAAGGTGGGGGGATTGTTTGGGCCTGGCGGAGGCTGCAATGAGCTGTAGTAGCACCACTGCATTCCAGCCTGGGTGACAGAGCAAGGGACCCTACCTCAAAAATAGTACGAAATAAAAATAAAAGAAAAAATTTGAAATCTTTACACACACACACACACACACACACACAATCTATATTATAATTATATATAATAGACACATTATATATAACGCAATCTACTATATATAGATATATATCTCTCAAGTGGTTGAAACTGGGGTCAAAGGATCTTAAAAATGCCCCTTGAAACCCTAAAGGGCAATGGAAAGCCCTGAAAATAAATCAATGGATTACATCATTGCCAAGGGCTTCTCTAGTGTTAGAGTTCTGGAACACTCAAACAGGGTTAAAAGGAAGGCACAGAGTGATTAATAAATTAATAAAATTTGTAATGCTGATTATTAAGCCAAGGTTATCTCAAAATATTTTTTTTTTTTTTTTTTTGAGACAGAGTCTCTCACTCTGGAGTGCAGTGGTGCGATCTTGGATCACTACCACCTCCACCTCCCAGGTTCAAGTGATTCTCCTGCCTCAGCCTCCCGAGTAGCTGGGATTACAGGCACGTGCTGCCATACTCAGCTAAGTTTTGTATTTTTAGTAGAGATAGGGTTTCACTATGTCGGCCACGATGGCCTGGATCTCCTCACCTCATGATCTGCCCACCTCGGTCTCCCAAAGTGTTGGAATTACAGGGGTGCCACTGCACCCAGCCAGATTATCTAAATTTTAAAATCTGTTTGAGATAGTTCAGATGCCCAGTCAACATCATACAATAATGACAGCACTAACCAACTTGCTAAAGGTCACAAGTCAAGTAAAAGGCAGAGGGAGGACTACACGTAGGTACTGAAACTGCAAATTCTCCATGCTTTCTACTCTATTTAATATTCTCATGTGAATGACCATAAATCATTGAGCAGATGTCATAAGCTTTAACAGCACAATGAAAGTCCTAGACTCTTTAAAGTGGGGCCAACACAATATTGTGCTAAGTGATTTTCATTTACCCCCCATGCCACTCTGTGAAGCAGGTACTTCACTTCATTGTTATCACCATTGCACGTGTGAGAAACTGGCTCAAGGGAGTGAAGCGCCTTGCACGTGGCCACACTGCCACGAGCAGCAGAGCTGTTAAGTCCAGGCCTTTGGTCCACAGTTGATGGACCACTACGCATATATGCATATATGATTTAACCACTACACAACACCAGATGTATCAAATAAACTGCCAGAAATGGTCACGGTCTCTGACAGTGATTTTCTATTTGGTTTCCAAAATTGCAAAACAAAAATTCCCAAAGAAAGATTCTAGATCAGTTCAACACAATGAGCTTCAAGTTGAAAATCTTACAGGGCTGTAAACTTCATCATGTCAACAACCAGAACAGAGGATATAAAGCAATATAATTTTTTACTACGGTATGGAGGTTTAAGAGGTCCCTAAATGACAGAAACACTGTGTAGGTGGCCTTTTTATTTCTATTGAAGAGCTTTCACTTAACATCTGCCAATGGATCCCTGCCAGTTCACTTCTAAAAATACATACCAGTCGGCATCAGGATAAAACAGTCTTCACCAAGCAGAGCAGCATTGATCGCCTCTAGCTGATTAGTTCTAAAATTATGCAGGCCAAATTTTTTATGAAAAATCTTCATCATTTCCTTTGTATGAGGAAAACTAAGACTTTGGAAACGCTCATGTTTCAGATTTCTGGATGCTAAATTTTGTGTTGACTTGCCTAAGAAAATAATCAACGTTAAGAGAAATCAGTGCATGAATACAGTGAAAGTGCAGCTTTAGCATTTCCCTTGCCTGCCAAATCACTGGCACGTTTCCCTGCAGCACGCTCTTCACTGTTTACCAGCTTTCCATCCCTCCAAATCTCAAAGCCACCAAGGACTTGCCAAGGGCCCAAATCAAGTATTTCCTTGACTTTTTCTACAACACCTACCCTGACTTTTATTCCTTCCTCTTCTTCCTTCCTTCAACCATGACCACCAAGACAATCATGGTTTTCTACTCATTTTAAATTGCCTTTCCTGGCTCCACTTCCTCCATCTGCCCCATAAATAGGGAGTCTTTCAGATATTTGGGACTGGCTCTGTAGACATTCTTTTCTGGAGTTTTCCTAGTCCTGTGATCTTAAACATGACCTTGGCTGGGCGCGGTGGCTCAAGCCTGTAATCCCAGCACTTTGGGAGGCCGAGGCGGGTGGATCACGAGGTCAAGAGATCGAGACCATCCTGGTCAACATGGTGAAACCCCGTCTCTACTAAAAATACAAAAAATTAGCTGGGCATGGTGGTGCGTGCCTGTAATCCCAGCTACTCAGGAGGCTGAGGCAGGAGAATTGCCTGAACCCAGGAGGCGGAGGTTGCGGTGAGCCGAGATCGCGCCATTGCACTCCAGCCTGGGTAACAAGAGCGAAACTCCGTCTCAAAAAAAAAAAAAAAAATTAGCCCTTCTCAGCTTTTCTGCAGATCTGACTCTGCCTCCTGACTCCCTGTTTGTGTCAATGGGGTCACAGTTTTCCCAGTCATCAGTGTCTGAAACCTTGAAGTCATCTGAGCTTCCTCAGGTTCTTCTTCCATAACATTTCTCACACGCACCCCTGCTCTGTAGCCAGGCTGTCGCAACTCTGGTTCAGCACAGAGAACAAGAGGTACTCATTCAGCTCTGGCAGTTACGCTATCCCCAACACTCAACTGTCTCAAGATAATTGCAAACATCCAGTATGACACATTCTAACATGATACAAAAATAAATCCATGAATGGTTGTTTTAAAGGTCAGCAGCGTCAACTGTAAGAACAACCTCCGTGGTATTAAGTCATCAATAGCAAAAATAGGGAGGGCTGTACTTTGTAAACTTACTTCAGTTAAAAAATACTTTTGATAACTTTACAGGGTTGATGTAAGGCTTTAAAATTATTTTTGGCTTTTTTTCTGGAGCCTTAACAGTGGCTCATTTCATTCCTTTCGAAACTTCTCTCTCACTAAGCTGTGAGCTCCAGGAAGGCAGGAACTACTTAGCATTTGTTCTTCATCTTTAATGACCAGCACCCAGCATAGCACATGGCATGGAGTGAGCACTTACGCCCAAAGTAGCGGTATGACTGATTTAAGGCACTTCTGACTTCATATCCTTTTGAGACTGCCCTATATTTTAACATTTAAGACATAAAACATGCTTCTCTACTTTGTAAATTAATTGAGTCTCATCAATACAGAATTCTAAAATACATTTTTAGCATGTACATTCATTTTTGCTTTTGCCCATCCCCAAATCATTAAAAACTCAGCCCTCATGAATTTATTGTTTTAGAAACTAAAAAGCGTTAATTCAAAGGCAAAGCACATTTGTAATGACTTTAGAGCCTTACTACAATAGGTTATAATTACACATTTTGTAAAACTACAGCTGCTGTAGAGACAAAAGAGCAACTTGCTTTTAAAATTGTGATTTGTAATTCATATCATCCATAGAAATTTGCATAGCAACAATGCAGTTTTCAGGCAATGATGATTTGCTATGGTTTTTCTTATATAATTCCTATTTTGGGACAGTTTTGTTTTCTTATAAGCATTCAATTTATTTTAAACTTACCAGTGTAATTCTGCATTGACTCTGAGAAGTTTTTATTTTGAGCAGTAGATGCCACTGGAAGACGGTTTGTCTTGGCTGAAGAAAGTTTTTCTGATACTGACTTAATTGGCCGACCTTCCTTGATGGGTTGATAGGCAGCTGTGGAAGATTTGCTGGCTGCTAAATTATGCATTATATTTTCCCAGTCATCATCATCATCAAAGTCATCTATGTCAAAATTATCAATATCACAGGAAGGCTGGCTTTCTAAGTCATTTATTGAAGCAGTATGTTTATTCCAATCTTTCACAGCAGTGCTTGTGAGAACATTTCCTGGGAAATAAGGGCTTTCATTTCTTTTTTCTAGTCTTGGTGTTTCAGCCCAGTTGCTACTTACAAAGGACTTCTGTAAATGGGTATTGAATAAAGGCCTTTCAAAAAGATTCTCCCTGGTGGCTGAGAATCCTGTCTTTCCTGGGGTGGTAGTCAGTAAACATTCCCCAGGAGAAACAGAATCTGAGGGAAGGTGTGGAAAATTTAACTCCTTCATAGAATTCTCTGTAGGGCAGGAATCACCCTCCACAGGCTCATCAAGTGAATCAGGCCTGCATCTCCAAACTGAGCCAAGAAGACTGGTATCACTTTTATTCAAATCTACTTCCATTAGAAGTTCTCCTCTGAAGAGGCAAAAGAGAACAATATATTAAATATAAGTAGTTTACTCCAGTTAGGGCCACAAAAGCAAATCTTATACAAATGTTAAAGGAGTGGTTTCAAAGTTAATAGATGTAAAACACAGTGGCATGGTGATCACCCTTATGCCATTTCCAGGCCAGAAAGCCTGGGCATTTTTCCCTGTGCATTTTTTACTTAGAGAGGTAGAAATACAATCCGATATATTCCAGAAGGAGGCAAATCGAGATACCTTATGTTCCGCAGCTGAAGTAGTTCGTTTCCACAATCCAAAAGTTTCAGTTTATCAGCAGGAATAGTATCAACTAATTTACAGATGCGATCCATCACGTTAATAAGTTGCTGCTGTAAACTTATCCGTCTAGCTATAAAGTAATTATGTCGTTAATATTTTGCTTTGAAAAAAAAAAAAAAAAAAAAAAAGTCTTGGCTAGGTGTGATGGCTTATGATGGTAATCCTAGCACTTTGGGAGGCCAAGGCAGGAGGATGGCTTGAGTCCAGGAGTTCAAGACCAGCCTGGGCAACATAGTGAGGCACTGTCACTTAAAAAAAAAAAAAAAAAAAAGTACCTGAGACTACAGGCCTATGCCACTGTGTCCAGCAACACAACACATCTTCTTCTTTTTAAAAGATTAATTATTTTTTGTAGAGACAGGGTCTTGCAATGTTGCCCAGGCTGGTCTCAAACTCCTGGGTTCAAGTGATCCTCCCGCCCTGGCCTCCTAAAGTGCCAGGATTACAGGTGTGAACCACCGTGCCCATAACTGTTTTCATTTAATTTCATAATATTTAATAAATAATATTTCTCAGGGTAAGCAAGGTCTTTGGCTGGAACAAAGGTTTATCAGTTAACCACGATTTGTTTATACTAACTTCATGTGTAAAGCTCACTGTGCCATCACACAGTATACTTACTGTGAAGTGTTGGACAGGCAAGAGCCCTACCTATTGGTTTGATGTGCCTGGAATCCAGGCTTCCTTTTAATAGTAACAGCATAGCACTGACATTTCCTTTCAGACCTCCCCTTCCCACTCCCTCAGTAGGCATCACAAGGCAGCCCCCTGAAAATTAACTGGAAATACTTAGGACTGACTGGGTAAAAGCACCTCTCTTTTTACAAGCTTAATATGATTCTGGTGGCCATCTCTGTCACCTTATAAAAAAAGACAGCTTTCAAGTAAGATCAATACAAAGGAAAAGTGAAAGCAGATAAAAGAAATGAAGGCTTGACCGACGAGATGTGACAGAATAGAGGAGAGGGAAGGCAAGCGAGAGAGAAAGCAACTCTTGATATGACGTTTGGACATCTAAATCCTACCAGTCCACTCCCATTTTAAAAATTAAACCATACCTAATAAATAGAATTTCAAAGCAGCTGAGGTTTTATTTTATTTTTTGAGACAGATTCTCGCTCTGTCTTCCAGGCTGGAGCGCAGTGGTACAATGTTGGCTCACTGCAACCCCCGCTTCCTGGGTTCAAGGGATTGTCCTGCTTCAGCCTCCTGAGTAGCTGGGACTACAAGCATGTATCACCATGCCTGGGTATATTTTCATTAGAGATGAAGTTTCACCACGTTGGCCAGGCTGGTCTCAAACTCCTGATCTCAAATCATCCTCCCACCTCGGCCTCCCAAAGTGCTGGGATTACAGGCATGAGCCACCATGCCTAGCCGCAACTGAGGCTTTAGATGAAGGAAAGGGCCGGGCGCAGTGGCTCATGCCTGTAATCCCAGCACTTTGGGAGGCTGAGGCTGGAGGATCACCTGAGGTCAACAGTTCGACACCAGCCTGGCCAACTTGGCAAAACCCCGTCTGGGCGACAGAGTGAGAGAGAAAAAAAAAAAGATGAAGAAAAAAAAAAAGGCAATAGGAAGCAAGGACAATAGATGTCTGTACCACCTCTCAGGCCTAAAGTATGCAGGAGGAAAAAACAGTTTAGGTGGGCTGCAGGGGAAACAGTATGTATTCTCAGAAAACTATTAGAGAAAGAAGGGGAAGAAAATGATCAGAGAAGAGGATGAGGCTACAGGGACGTTGCTGACAGAGCAGTCGGTTGAATGGTTTACAAGACAGGAAGAAGAGGAAGTGGGGACAGAACAGGGAGTGGATACGGCAGTGTGGGAAGAGCAGCTGCAGGAGAATGGCCTGGGAAATTTGGACTTCTACTGGTGATGGAGAGAAGTGTGAGGTATGAGATGGCAAAGTGGAATTCCTGAATTCCTGTCTTACTTCTGTTTTCTCTCCAGGAAGAATGAGCATCAGATTGGAAAGAGAATCCACAGTGGTCTGATGGAACTGAAAGACAAGATAGGTTCAGGGGGAGAGGAAACAGAGCATCTCGAGATCAGAAACAAGCTCAAGACTCCTTGTCCAGACAGATTAGACCTCAGAGTACAAAGGAAATCTGCAAACAAGATCTCAAAGGCCCTGTCACTGACACGTGAGGCATCTAGTGAATAACAGAATTGATGAAAGTGAGGACAGACAAACACTGTTCTATTCAAAAAATTTGAAAGCGATTGCCAAAAACTACAGATCTGTAATAGAAACCTGTCTCCTCCTACTCCTGGCTATGTAACTATGGCAAATAGTTACACTTCTCTGGACTTCAGTTTTTTTCCTGGTGATCCAATGTCAATTCAAAGCAAAATTCTACAGCCTGTTACCAAATGGCTGCTTTGTGAGCTCTAAAGGGAGGGAACAATTACAGAGTTAGCAAAAAGTTTATAAAAACAAACCATCCATCTCAATGTATTTCCTTCTTTAAAAGGACTAGTAGACTGGCAGATAACAGTAGCTACCATTTATGAAAGGCCCACAGTACACTAGGCACTTTACCTTGAATCCTGATACCCAGCAAGGCAGGTATCATTCTCTTCATTTCACAGACGAAAAATCTCAAGTCCAGAGAAGTTTAACTATTTGCCATAGTCACACAGCCAGGAGTAGGAGACAGGTTTCTATCACAGATCTGCAGCACTCTAGAGTCAATGTCCCACCCATTCCTCCTTGCTGCCTCATACCTCAAACTTTTTGGAATCACAGAGCCAAGTTTTTTGTGTTCCCATGGATAATGAACAGAAACATGGTCTGAAGACAGATATGTAACTAGCTGAACAAGAGGTGGTGATGAATGGACCGACGTAAGCCAAAAAGGAGGCCTCTATTGACACTCTATCGAACTCTGTCCTTGCAAAACTTAATGACAGAGAGACAGTATAATGCCATTGTTACCTGTATAAACTAAAAAGCCTCAAGACTGCTGTGTTCGGATGCTAGCTCTGTGGCTATCTAATTCTATGATGGTGTGTAATTATTTAACACCCTGTACCTTACTTTCTTATCTGTTAAATGAGGATAACAGAAACTACCTTAAAAGAGGGGTATTGTGATGATTGAATGAGTTAATATTTTAAAGCACTTTATAAGAGTGCCCAGCATATCAATTATTTCATGACTATCTCTAAAAGTAAATGGAGTCCAAAATAAACAATTAAAAAACGAGGAAACAAAACAGCACACAGAGAACACTACACACATGACCTGTACATGTGTGCAGACGTTGCTGAAAAAGCCCAGCATCCCTCAGACAAGAATGCATGACGGAAATATCCCGAGAACAAAAAAGAGCTCTCGGAAATTGCCTTGATAGAAATAAAAACATTCCTTAGAAGAGTTAAAGATAGGCCGGGCGTGGTGGCTCACGCCTGTAATCCTAACACTTTGGGAGGCCGAGGTGGGTGGATCACCTGAGGTCAGGAGTTCAAGACCAGCCTGGCCATCAGGGTGAAACCCCATCTTTGAAAAAAATAAATAAATAAATAAATAAAAATAAAAAATAAAAAAATTTTAAAAAATAAAAAAAAAAAAGAAGAGTTAAAGATAAAATCAAGGAAATATCCTAAAAAGCAGAAAGTCAAGAGATGAAAATAGAAAAGATAATTAATGGATGTCTAACATACAAATAATAGAAGTTCCAGGAAGAGTGAAAAAGAAAGTAAAAAGAAATAATACCAGAAAAAATTCTAGAACAGGACACCAATTTTCAGACTGAAGGTGCCTCTGAGAAGCGGACACCAAGGGTGGAAAAGGGGGATGTTGTTTATCAAAGCCTTGCACTGCTATCCGCTTATTTACACCAGATATTTAATAAAAAATAGAGCCGGGCGCGGTGGCTCAAGCCTGTAATCCCAGCACTTCGGGAGGCCGAGGTGGGTGGATCACGAGGTCAAGAGATCGAGACCATCCTGGTCAACATGGTGAAACCCCGTCTCTACTAAAAATACAAAACATTAGCTGGGCATGGTGGTGCGTGCCTGTAATCCCAGCTACTCCGGAGGTTGAGGCAGGAGAATTGCCTGAACCCAGGAGGCGGAGGTTGCGGTGAGCCGAGATTGTGCCATTGCACTCCAGCCTGGGTAACAAGAGTGAAACTCCGTCTCAAAAAATAAATAAATAAAAAATAAAAAATGAATAAGAAACAAACACGCAAACAAGTATTTAGCTTTAAATGGACATCAAGATCCAGACCCAGACTCGGAATATATACAAGGGAGAATCAGGAGGATAAAAGGTCTAGAAAGCAATTTCCAGCAAGGAGAGTTAAAAGACCTAATCATAGTTAGTCTAGGGGAGAAAAAAACTCTCTTATGATGAGATTACACTCTGTGGTACACGTTTCTGAAGCACATGATTTTGTGGAAGTTCTCATTTGTGGAAGATAAAATAAATAAATAAATAAATAAATAAATAAATAAATAATTTTAAAAGCCCTAGGATGAAAGTTGCAGATCTTGGCTCAGTATGAGAGAGAATTTCTAACAAGCAGTATTTTCAAAATAGGGAATAAACGGCCCTATGAGAGCATGAGTTCATGAGACGTTCAAGTAAATGCTGGCTAACCAGTGAACAGGGTTACGACATTAGAAGAAAAGTGACCACAAATCTGCCATTTGATAACGTACAGCCACAGGCTGAAAACAATCTTACTTTGTTTTCAAAAGTAAGTAGTTGAGATATGGGATATGTCTAAAATACAGTTTCTACCGTCACAGTCTGTGCTGGTTTCTGGATTAGGCTCCTGCGTGGTCACATCCTCTCTTCTGTCAGAGGTGTCAAGGTCCTTTGACACACTGCAAATAAAAAAATGTGAAGCCAATCATACTACAGACTAGACCCAATAAATGTATAATTTCCCCTTAATATTTTTCTACAACTGGTCAGACAATATATAACAGAAGAGAGAAGTTTTTTTTTTTTTTAATCTCCTCAATTATAAAACTTCTTAGTTGACCCTGAAAGCTGTCCCTCCTCTGGTCCCAAGAGCCCTTTTCAACTTTATCTCCAATTACGTACTTTCAGTAACACAAAGCTTCAATCAGACTGCACCACTTACATTCTTCATATAAGCCTACATTGCCTATTTTGGGGATTTTGCCACTGATCCTCTCAATTTGGAAAACCTGCCATTCCAATCTCTTTTTATCCAAATCACACCTGTTTTTCTAGGCCCAGCCCAAGAATTACTTCTCCAGCAAGTGATTATTAATGTCTCCTTCTGAGATTCCAAAGCACTTTTTCTAGATTTCTCTTATTATGCAAATATGTGCGTGTGTGTGTCTGTATATATAATTACCGTACACAGATTAAACAAAAACATATTACCACACAAACCTGGTCAGTCTGATTAGATAGAAAAAATACTTAAAAAGTAACAAAATAAATTAGTACTCGATGAGGGTTAAAGAGAGAATACTATGGAAATCCAAAGAAAGGTAACATGTTTTGGAACTTGAGAAGGCTTTGTCAAGGAAATAAGATTTAAGCAAGCTTTGAATGACAAGTATGAGGAAAATGCCAGACTATCAAAGAAATATTTTTAAAAGTGCAATTCTATCTGCTTGATATCTGGGAATCAACCGCATTTTCCTAAAGCAGAACTTTGGAATGCAACTTTCTAACTAAACCAGAAACAGTGTAACTTTTTAAATATTGTTTTTTAAAAAATAACATTATAGTTAAAGAAAATGGTAATGCTTTCTACGTTGCTGGTTTGACTCATTAAGATCATAGGGTTATTGCAAGGACATAAGTGGAGATAAAGCCAAAAAAGGTAAATTGTGGCCAGAAGATAGAGAATCTTGAGGGCGAGCTAAAGAGGTTTTGGAAAAGTGGAGATTCAAAAACATGCCTCTCTTCTCTATCATATATTGTCTGACCACTTGACTTCCAAAATTCAGAGGTTACAACCAGTACTTTTTAAAACTGGAATAAAATGTAGAATAGAATCTAAGCTGTGCACTGCACATAAAATATTCTTTGTATGGCCGGGCGCGGTGGCTCAAGCCTGTAATCCCAGCACTTCGGGAGGCCGAGGCGGGTGGATCACGAGGTCAAGAGATCGAGACCATCCTGGTCAACATGGTGAAACCCCGTCTCCACTAAAAATACAAAAAATTAGCTGGGCATGGTGGCGCGTGCCTGTAATCCCAGCTACTCAGGAGGCTGAGGCAGGAGAATTGCCTGAACCCAGGAGGCGGAGGTTGCGGTGAGCCGAGATCGCGCCATTGCACTCCAGCCTGGGTAACATGAGTGAAACTCCGTCTCAAAAAAAAAAAAAAAAAAACAATATTCTTTGTGAAAATTCTATTTTAGTTTTATAATATATACACATATGAATAGTAAGTTACAATGGGAAATTTACAAAAAGAGTCTACCTTGGAAATATCCTGCAAAATACGCATTTTTAATCGCTAAAAATCTAGGTAAATTCATTTACGGTATGACAATTTGATAAATTTTGTAGCCATTAAAATGAATAAAATATGTAGCAGTCGGAAAATGTTTTAGAAATCATGTTAAAGGAAATAAAGCAGAATATAAAATTATAGTTACATGTTTATTACAACAATGCAGAAATCAAACACACATGTAGAAAAGGATCAAAACTGGGAGTACCAGTCTGAGGCTGAGGGAGTCATGGCAGGACAGGCGTTTAGAAAGTTTCTCCCACTCTTTGACCGAGTATTGGTTGAAAGGAGTGCTGCTGAAACTGTAACCAGAGGAGGCATTATGCTTCCAGAAAAATCTCAAGGAAAAGTATTGCAAGCAACAGTAGTCGCTGTTGGATCGAGTTCTAAAGGAAAGGGTGGAGAGATCCAACCAGTTAGCGTGAAAGTTGGAGATAAAGTTCTTCTCCCAGAATATGGAGGCACCAAAGTAGTTCTAGATGACAAGGATTATTTCCTATTTAGAGATGGTGACATTCTTGGAAAGTACGTAGACTGAAATAAGTCACTATTGAAATGGCATCAATGTGAAGCTGCCCATTCCACTGAAGTTCTGAAATCTTTCATCATGTAAATAATTTCCATATCTCTCTTTTATAATAAACTAATGATAACTGATGACATTTAGTGTCTCCAAAATTGTTTCCTTGTACTGATACAAACATTTCCAAATAAAAATATATAAACGAGTAAAAAAAAAAAAAAAAAAAGAAAGAAAAGGATCAAAACTGAACATGGATAAAGAGAATTGTGGAACTACTAGTATTCCTTCTCTCTCTCAATTTTTTTTTTTTTTTTTCTTTTTTTTTTGGGACGGAGTTTTGCTCTTGTTACCCAGGCTGGAGTGCAATGGCGCGATCTCGGCTCACCACAACCTCCGCCTCCTGGGTTCAGGCAATTCTCCTGCCCCAGCCCCCTGAGTAGCTGGGATTACAGGCACACGCCACCATGCCCAGCTAATTTTTTGTATTTTTAGTAGAGACGGGGTTTCACCATGTTGACCAGGATGGTCTCGATCTCTTGACCTCGTGATCCACCCGCCTCGGCCTCCCAAAGTGCTGGGATTACAGGCTTGAGCCACCGCGCCCGGCCTCAATTTTTTTTTTTTAAGAGATGGGAGTCTCGCTGTATTGCCCAGGCTGGAGTGCAATGGTTACTCGTGGGTATAATCACAGCATGCTATAGCCTCGAACTCCTGGGCTTAAGAGAACCTCCTGCCTCAGCCTCCTGAGTAGCTGGGACTACAGGCCGCTACCACACCACGGCACCCAGCAGTGGTCCTTCCTTCTTATTTAGAATCCTTGTTAAAATGGTTGTAATATTATTTGTGCAATACACATTTTTAATAAGAGAAAAGACAGGTAGTCAACAAGGAATCAGTATGACACCAGAGAAAGTACTACATTGGATCTGAGTCCATCCTTCATTCATTGTATCTTCCTGGGCAATTCCTTGCTCCTCCCCGGGCCTCAGCTGTTTCACCTGGCCAATGAGAACGCTGGTTCAGAATCTAGACTCTATATAAACTTTCGCTCAGTTTAACATATATTATACTCTACCACTCAACTGATCTGAGAGTGAGACTAGGATAAGGATGAAGGTATCATCGATGTTTAGTAATTTAAGCTACTGATGAGTCGTGTGGAGTATCTATTTTTCTCATAATACTACCAATTAACAATAATCATGTCACCAATTTGCTAAAATTGAGTGAATAACAAATATAATGGCCAATTCTATTAGTATTTTAAAAAAATACTAATGTCCTAATTCACTCCCCATATAATGGTTAGCTTTGTGTCATTTCAGGTCAGGTTTGGAAATATATTTTTAGAAATATATTCCTTACGTCAAAATCAACTACATAAGGCCAGGCATGGTGGCTCATGCCTGTAATCCTAGCACTTTGGGAAGCCAAGGTGGGTGGACTGCCTGAGCTCAGGAGTGCAAGACCAGCATGGGAAACATGGCAAAACCCTGTCTCTATTGAAAATACAAAAAATTAGCCGGGCATGGTGGTGTGCACCTGTAGGCCCAGCTACTTGGGAGGCTGAGGCACAAGAATCACTTGAACCCAGGAGGTGGAGGTTGCAGTGAGCCAAGATTATACCACTTCACTCGAGACTGTCTGGAAAAAAAAAAAAAAAATCAACTACATAAAATTGTTTGGAGGTTCCATGTAATTAATCATAATGAGACTTCATCTTTAGAAATCTACCAATTAAATGTACAAATAGGATTTTTTTTTTTTTTGAGGCTTTCACTTGAATGTAAAATAATTATACAGAAGCACAAAGTACATTTGTATAGAAATATATAGCTAAATGAAACTATTTAGAGTATTCCAGAAACAAATAATAATGCTTACTAATTATTTAGCTAGTTTACCTAAAGCATTTTGAAGAGGAAGAAGAAGCAGAAAGAATTTCTTCTGGAGAAGGTGGAACAAAATCTATATCATAATCATCATCATCAAATTCAATACATGGAACTTTCTCAGTAGAATGTAATTCAGCTTCTTCCACATTCTTCTTCTTTTCATTATTATCTACAGTAAAACAGTTGACAAACATAGATTTGTTAACAACAAATGTGACAGAACAGGGCATGAGCGCTTAAGAGTGAGAGCTTCTGGCAGGTCAGAAAGGAGTTGTACAATCACACCACTTTGTACGAATCATCTCCCTTCACAAGCTAGTGCTGGCTTATTTATTCATAAATGATTATTATTGAGTCAACTGGATGACGTCCAGTGAATGCTCAACTGAGGCCAAAGATTTGCGTAGGGATTTTCATGTCTGTCTCTGGTTAAATTAGGAAACACGTATTTGGTATCGACGTTTTTAGTTTTTAGCTTTTCACTCATACTGAAATAAGGGTAAAGTGTAACAGGTAAGTCTGGTTATAGCACAAACACGGCTGCTTGTACAAACCATCTTTACCACAAAGTTTCCTATTTAAGTCTCTCTATTGGACTATGTGGGAAAACACAACCCAAATTGTAATTCTCTACCTTTTAACAAATGTTCTCTTCAGAAACAGAAGCATTACTGATGACACTACAGGTCTGCTTATCATCAATCACTTTTCAGTGCTCTCTCCTGCTAATAGTAACCTTAATGGGATTCAGGTGTTTAAACATTCTACTCTCAAGTTTGCAACTGGTTCATAAGGTGGGTTACTTCCACATGTGGTTAATCTCAGTTACTATATTTTGGACATTTAATAATTATAAGATCTAGCCAGGAAAACTTTGAATGTAATTTATAATACTTTAATAGAACAATTAGAGCACATTATCTATCAATATTAGGTGGCAACACGCCATAAAGGAATTACAGTAGAAAGGCTTCATTTCATTTTCTCATATACCACTAACCAGCATTTTAACCTCTATGGATCTTACAGCAGCACCCCCTTTATCCTCGGGAAATACGTGACAAGACCCCCAGAGGATGCCTGAAATCTTGGATAGTAGGTACCCTATATGTACTATGTATTTTCTTATACATACATACCTACGATAGAGTTTTATTTATGAATTAAACACAGTAAAAGATGAACAACAATTAATGTAATAGCACAATTATAAAAATATTTTGCAATGAAAGTTACGTGACTGTGGTCTCTCTGGCTCAAAATATCTTACTGTACAGTACTAATCCTTCCTCTTGTAAAGATATAAGATGATAAAAAATGCCTACATGATGAGATGAAGCAAGGTGAATGATGTAGGCACTGCGATGTAAATGGAAAATCCCAGAAATAAACTAATTCCTAAGTTTTCAGTTTCGAGCTGTTTTGAGTAGTGTAATAAAATCTTGCACTGCCCTGCTCTGTCCACCTGGGTTGCCGTGAATCACTTGGCAGTGGTCTCAGCAGACTGACTGTTGTGGTATCGCAGGGCAAAGTGCAAGAGAAGTGATGCAGTATTTTTGGACCTTGGCTGGCTGCGGGTAACTGAAACCTCAGAATGTAAAGCTGTCGACAAGGGGAAGCTGCCATATTTTCTTCATGTATAAAATCACACAGTGATCCTGGAAATTCTATTAGCAGACGAAAACCCTCCAATTCATCAGTATGTCCTGCCTCAAAAACGTGGCCAAGGGATTATTCAAAAAGCACCAATAAAGACCCTAACAACCTTAAGGACAAAAGCTGTATATATTCAAGACTATTCCCAATGGCTAGCTTTGAATAAAAAAACCACAGTGAACATACTGAAATGAAGATAAAACAATTTTTACCTCTTTCATCTTCCAAATGAGTTTTCAAAGAGTCACTTTCCCGAGCATCTTCATTTATATGCACTTCGGCAATGGGGCCATCATCGATGCAAATCACATCGCTGCTGAACCATTCTGAGTCATCCTTCTGCTCCTTAGTCAAATCTATTTGCTTGCTTTCGGAGGAGGATGCAGGCAAATCAGCCTTTACTGTGTTTGTTGTACAAAGCTGGGCTTTAAAAAAGTTTCTCTTAGCCTTTTTTGATTTCTGAGCAGTGCTTACTCTGACAAAGTGACTTTGGGGTGGTGTAACAAATGCTTTTGAAGTCCCAGAAGTATCAAAGTCATCCATATCATCCCAATCATTGATGGTACTTAAAGAATCTGGTGAAGAACTAAATTCTAATTTCTTGAAAGCAGTATCCCGGGATTTCTTTAGGGTCGGTGTGTTTTGGGTAGTGCATAAAACTTCCTTCGGAATCTGCAAGAAATCTGGCAATAATGGTTTTGATCCAACTCTCTGGGTTTGCTGTCCTGCTGGAACATTTTTAAAGAAGTCCTTGCCCCTTTGCTGATCTGTGGTGTGGGGCCGAGGTTCACTGAAGGAAAAGCCTTCAGTGACATTAACATCTTTATTTCTTAATACAGGTGTTTCTGCTACAGACACATTAGTTACAGATACATTGTTATCTGATGTTTTCTTTTTAAAAGTGAAACCGCTGAAAAATAATGGAAAAACTTGATTAGATGGATGCATTTTAACAAAACCCCCAACGCTACAAAACTGCAATTTTTTAAACTAATTTACAGAAGTTACATTAATTGTATCCCAACTGAGCAAAGAATCCACCTCTGATTTTAAATTTATCAGGCAGCTTAAATTGTATTTGTTCTCTGGTCCTTCCCATTCAGGGGCTGTTTGGTTTTGAGCGGCCATTCCCACTACTTTATTTCTCAGGCTAGTAATCCTCAGTTAACAGCATCTCCAGAGCAGGGGGGCAGCATAAATGAAAAAGGGAAGAGGCCGGGCACCGTGGCTCACGCCTGTAATCCCAGCACTTTGACAGGGCAAGGCAGGTTAACTGCTTGAGGTCAGCAGTTTGAGACCACCCTGGCCAACATGGTGAAACGCTGTCTCTACTAAAAATACAAAAAATTAGCTGGGCATAGTGGCATATGCCTGAAGTCCTAAGCCACTCAGGAGGCTGAGGCAGGAGAATCGCTTGAACCCAGGAGGTGGAGGTTGCAGTGAGCTGAGATTGTGCCATTGCACACCAGCCTGGGCAACAGAGTGAGACTCCATCTCAAGAAAAACAAAACAGGCCGGGCGCGGTGGCTCAAGCCTGTAATCCCAGCACTTTGGGAGGCTGAGGCGGGTGGATCACGAGGTCAAGAGATCGAGACCATCCTGGTCAACATGGTGAAACCCCGTCTCTACTAAAAATACAAAAAATTAGCTGGGCATGGTGGTGCGTGCCTGTAATCCCAGCTACTCAGGAGGCTGAGGCAGGAGAATTGCCTGAACCCAGGAGGCGGAGGTTGCGGTGAGCCGAGATCGCGCCATTGCACTCCAGCCTGGGTAACGTGAGTGAAACTCCGTCTCAAAAAAAAAAAAAAAGAAAAGAAAAACAAAACAAACAGAAAACAGATAAAGAGAAAGGGAAGGGACTAAAACGTGGCTACTTTTTGTTACTCTGATAAGAATTTCAAGGGGAAAAATAGTTAAAAACTGCTAGTTCTGTTAAAATCTGCAGGACAAGTAAAAGAGGCGGGAATCATGGCTGTCTGCTGGATTTAATGATCAGAAAGTCAGTGGTGACTTCAAAGTCAGGCATCCAGAACAGAGTCTACAGCCTGGTAAGGGCATCGCATATAACAAATTATTATTCAATATCATTAGAAGGAGTCTGGAGTACAGCATAGAGAAGAAGCAGAACTGGGGAGCTGTAGTTCACTTATAAACTGTTCTTGCAAAGGATATAAAATTATATTAAAATACTTAAGAAACACTTATTTGCCCAAATTTACAAGATTAAGTATTCATTTGCTCAACAAATCTTTATTGAGCAAATATTATGTATCAGGAACCAGGCAAAGGTGAGACACAATCTATTACCTGGTGCTGCTAAAACATACTCTACCATTAACTGGCAAAGTGGGAAAATCAACGAATCTCTCAGTTTCATTTCCTCATTTGTAAAATGAGAGACTTTAAAGAGAAGATAGCTCATGTGTACAATATGGTAAGTTAGTGCCTATATGACAGCAAACCAATCAAAACACTTACGAAAATTTTGGTTTGGAAAGACTTAATTTATTATTAAGTGTTCTGGCTGAGTGACGTTCCAGCTGCTCTTGTAGATTATTTTGAGGAACAGCAGCCATAATCCTAAAAAGTGAGGGGAAAAAAAATCAGTGGAGTTAGGTACTTTGCATTAATCACAATGTTTACTGAGGGGAGGAAGGACTTGATTCAAACAGGCATGGCTCCAACTGTGTCCAGAGTAATAAGACTTTTTTTTTCTGTCTATAGAGTGTTTTGACATTTACAACTAGTGACATTTGAAATATATAATCTTCAACTAACTGAAGGCTCACCTGAATAACAAAATAACCAGGTTTCCCCTCTCTTCCTCCACAATGCTAAAATAAGTACAAAAGACATTAGGGAAGGGATTATCAGGAAAGGGCTTTTAGAAAAACGGGACCTGGCCTAGAAGGATAAATTGAAGCTGGAAGGGAGCGAGCTGGGAAGAAATGATCAAAGCACAATGAAAGCCCAAAGAACAAATAAATAACTGAATTCTGCATGAGGGCAAAACTGGGGGAAAGGAGAAACAACAGCACCAACGAGGGCAAAGGTTTACCAGCAAGATACTATGCTTCATAATCATCTTGTTTCAGCCTAAAAGAATATGTTTACCAAGCACATTACATTCCTATGTAACAAGCTGCGGTAATGCTGAGCTATAGCCCAGGATTACATACAGCTTCTGCCACCTCCAAATTACTGGGGCTAAAGGAAGATCCTAGCTGTACTCCATGCAGAGTAAAAAATCCTCACTTTAGCTGATAGTTATAACCCATAAGGCCTTTCCCCTATCTTTACCAGGCATCTACTTTTATTTTATAGCACGTATCTCAGCAGGAAGGGTTAACAACGACACTAGATGATATTTGTAGATATGAAGTTTCACGTAAGTTGTGTTCCACTCATTATATCTATCAACCATCTTGACTTTAGATAACAGCGAAAAGCAGAAAAATTTAGAAGAAACTAAGTTACACTCAATTGATAAATCTTTATGTTTATAAGCATGATCATAATACAGCTTCTGTCCCACCTTCTTCAGAAAGAATTATTTCTGCTGCTTCTTCCTCTTTAAAATGGTTTAGGTAATACAGCTAATGATTTAATAAACATTGAATAATTCACACTGGCATGTGAATTATATCTTGTTACCACCAAAAAAAAGTAGATGGAAGGAATGAATCTCCACATACCTATCACCCAGATTCAACAATTATCAACTCAGGCCGGGCGCGGTGGCTCAAGCCTGTAATCCCAGAACTTTGGGAGGCCGAGGCGGGTGGATCACGAGGTCAAGAGATCGAGACCATCCTGGTCAACATGGTGAAACCCCGTCTCTACTAAAAATACAAAAAATTAGCTGGGCATGGAGGTACATGCCTGTAATCCCAGCGACTCAGGAGGCTGAGGCAGGAGAATTGCCTGAACCCGGGAGGCGGAGGTTTCGGTGAGCCGAGATCATGCCATTGCACTCCAGCCTGGGTAACAAGGCAAAAAAAAACAATTATCAACTCATTCAATATTGTTTCAGCTATACATATACCCTGAGGTCTTTACTCCACCATTTTGGAAGCTCATCTCCCCAAACGGTGACATTTAGATTCTGTTATTACTTCTGTCATTCATTAGCAGGAATACTTTTTGTTTGTTTGTTTTCTTTCTGAGACAGGGTCTTGATCTGTTGCCCAGGCTGGAGTCCACTGGCTCAATCACAGCTCACTGCAGCCTTCACCTCTTGGGCTCAAGCTTCCTGAGTATCTGGGACCACAGGTGTGCACTACCATACCCAGCTAATTTTTTAAATTTTGGTAAAGACAGGGTCTCACCGTATTGCCTAGGCTGGTCTCAAACTCGTGAGCTCAAGTCATTCTCCCACCTCAGCCTCCCAGTGTTGGGATTATAGGTGTCAGCCACGCCTAGACAGCTGGAAGACTTTTATCACAAGCTTCAAAATAATGATGCAGTACACTAAAAGCCCATACTTCACTACTATACAATATATGCACTTGGCTGGGCGCAGTGGCTCATGCCTGTAGTCCCAGCACTTTGAGGGGCTGAGGCAGGCGGATTGCTTGAGCCCAGGAGTGTGAGACCAGGCTGGGCAACATGGCAAAACCATGTCTCTACAAAAACTACAAAAAAATTAGCCTGGCGTGGTTGTGCGGGCCTGTGGCTGCTGCTACTCAGGAGGCTGAGGTGGGAGGATTGCTTGAGTCTGGGAGGCAGAGGTTGCAGTGAGCTCAGATTGTGCCACTGTACTCCAGTCTGGGCAACTGAGCAAGACCCTGTTTCAAAAACACCACCACCACCACCAACAAAAAGAAGTCTACACTTGAATCCCTTAAATATATTATATATATTAAGTACAGTATATATAACAAATAAATAATGATATTCATTCTTTTACCACCTTCAAATAGTGAATTTTTTTTCAATGTCATTATGAACTCATGGATTAAGCATATTAGGTGTGTTTCAGCCTAATACAGTTAGTTACTGATTCTCAAATCGATTCATGTTTGGTCAGCGGGAGCCTTTCCAGGTGTGCTCTTTAGTCCTTAAGACTTAATCTTATTCATCATTGAGCGCGCTTCCTTCCTATATGGCATGAAAAGATGTTCCAGACTTACTTTGTGCATTTTTGTTTCACCGGATTTGGAGTCAGCCATTTCCTCAAGCACCCCTAATTCTTGTTTTCCTTTTAAGACAGGGAGTCACTTTGCGGCCTAGGCTGGAGTGCAGTGGTGGCTCACTTCAACCTCCACCTCCCCATCTCAAGTCTCTCTCCCACCTCAGCTTCCCACAGAGCTGGGCCACAGGCGCACACCACAATGCCCTGCTAATTTTTTGTATTTTTGGTAGAGATGGGCTTTCACCATGTTGTCCAGGCTAGTCTCAGACTCCTGTGCTCACGGGATCCTCCTGCCTTGACCTCCCAAAGTGCTGGCATTGCAGGCCTGAGCCACCGTGCCCAGCCTACCCGATTCTTTTTAAAGGAGAATATTTAAAGAGCATAATCTGCATTTCCTAGGGTGCCTCCCCATTTTGAATCCAGTTTAGAAGTATTGATCTTTTATTGGGGTATCCTCTCTCTAAGGTGCTTTACAATGTGAAAGTCTTTCCCACATCGGTAAATGTGAACTGATAAAGAGTGAAGTCAGACTACTGCCCTCTCAGAATTTCAACATCAACAAAGTAGACTCCTGACAAGGAGGCAGAGGTACACAGATCTTTAGTCTTATGACCCTAAGCAGAACAAAGTGGCCCATGCCATCATTACTTATCCCTTTCCACATTCCTGCCATGACTTATTTATTTTTAGATCAAAACCAGCCACGGATTCTAACAACAGAGATTGCCTACGTTATTCCACAGCCTGGTTTTATATGTTTATTTAGCCATCCCAAGAGTACGACTGTTTGATTAACTATTTTATAACTATAGTGATTACATTATGGATTCACAGCTAGCATGTGGTCAACCCGCTTTTAAAATGCACTGCTCTTTGGTTATTCCCCACAAGGTAGTACCCTCCAGCCAGAATCATATTCTGAAGCATGGTAATGAGTACATAATTTTCTTACTCAAAATCCTCAGTGGGAATACTTTTAAGAAGTTGATGAGTACTAGGAACCATAAGGGTGTCTCTTCTGTACATATTCCATTAAAATATCAATAAAATTGTTTGACAGAAAAAGACAATTGTTCACCAACATTCCTGTAGTTTCAGCTACTCAAGAGGCTGAGCCAGGAGGACTGCCTGATCCCAGGAGTTCAGGGCTATCGTGCACTACGATCACACCTGTAAACAGCCGCTGCACTAGAGCCTGGGCAACAGTGTGAGACCCCATCTCTTAAAAAAACATATTGTTCATCCACAATAACAAAGATCAGTGATAAAGGACAAAAATTAACTGAAAACAAACCGAGGCTAGTGAAGTTTTACAATATTAAAAAAAAAAAAATTTCTGGGTGCAGTGAGCACACAGAAACTAAAAAAATAAACCTATGAATTAGAATTACCACAAGTTTAATCTGGAAAATGATTAAAATTTTCTCCTACATATATGAAAGAAGTTATTATGCCATTACTAAACAATATAAATAAGCAGCCCACGAGTGGTGGCTCATGCCTGTAATCCCAGCACTTTAGGAGGCTGAGGTGGGAGGATGGCCTGAGCCCAGGAGGTTGAGACTAGCCTGGGCAACATAGGGAGATTCCGTCTTTAGCCAGGCACGGTGGCTAATGAGGGAGGATCCCTTGAGCCCAGAAGTTCGAGGCTGCAGTAAGCAATGACTGTGCCACTGCTCCAGCCTGGGTGACAGTGAGACCCTGTGTTAAAAAAAAAAAAAAAAAGTCACAGGAAATGTAAGCTTCAATTATTGCCTTTAAAACTGGCTATTAAGAATTGTTCATAGCCGGGCGCGGTCGTTCAAGCCTGTAATCCCAGCACTTTGGGAGGCCGAGACGGGTGGATCACGAGGTCAAGAGATCAAGACCATCCTGGTCAACATGGTGAAACCCCGTGTCTACTAAAAATACAAAAAATTAGCTGGGCATGGTGGCGCGTGCCTGTAGTCCTAGCTGCTCAGGAGGCTGAGGCAGGAGAATTGCCTGAACCCAGGAGGCGGAGGTTGCGGTGAGCCGAGATCGCGCCATTGCACTCCAGCCTGGGTAACAAGAGCGAAACTCCGTCTCAAAAAAAAAAAAAAAAAAGAATTGTTCACATAGGCCGGGCACGGTGGCTTACACCTGTGAAGCCAAAGCAGGAGGATCACTTGAGCCCAGGAGTTGGAGAGCAGCCTGGGCAGCAAGTTAAGACCTGTCTCCACAAAAATACAAAAATTAGCTGGGTGTGATGGCAAGTGCCTGCAGTCCCAGCTATACGGGAGGCGGAGGTAAGAAGGATCGCTTGAGCCCGGGAGGTCAAGGTTGCAGTGAGCCATGATCACCCCACTGCACTCCAGTGTGGGTGACAGAGGGAGACCCTGTCTCAAAATTAAAAAAAAAAAAAAAAAAAAAAAAAAAAAAAAAACATAATAAATCAAAAAAAAAAAAAAAAAAACAAAAACCAAAGAGACATGAGATGGAGAAAAACATAGTCAAAAAAAAAAAAAAAAAAAGAGTGCCTTTTCTTTGAAATAAATGACACTAAAGTTACTGATTGGGTCTATCAAAATTAAGACTAGGTCAGACCTTACTTTTATTCATTTTGTTGTCAGAAGATGGCTATTTCAGTCTATCAAGGGATAGACTGCCAAAAAGACTACTCTAAGACATTCGGTGCCAAGAAACATGTAGATGTTTCTGTTTTCAGTCTTCGCTAAAAGTGGAGATTTTAGGGGGTGGTTTCTGAAAAACAGAGTCTCGCTCTGTAAGCCTCACTCAGTGACTGTTCACAGGGGAGGAGTTACCTTCCCTGGGGCAAAGGCGGTGAGCCTAAGAACAATCCTAACCTTATGAACCTCAACTTCACCTTAACTGCGGCAAGCAACTTTCTGTTCTCTGATAAAATTAAACATCAAACACAATTTCTAGACAAAGAGAGATTTTTGACAGAATTTTATGTCATATGTTCTCTTCATTCACTGTGTCCTGAATTTCTTGATTCATATATATAGAATCATACAGTATGTATTATCAATGCATTTTCGAAAAGGCATCTAATAAAACTCAAGCCGTTTCTAACAAACACATTAAAACACAAAATTACAAGTATTTAAAATCCAGAAAACAAATACCCTATATTTTACACTTGGTTGAATCCATTAAAAACAACAGCAAAAACAATATTGTTCTCTCATTTTCACTCCTATATTGGATGCTCTTGCCAATGCAAAAATATTAGAAAAAGAAAATACTAGAAGAGATGAGATGATCATTACATGTAGACAACTTGATTATACACCAACACAATCCAAAGAAAATCAGTCACAACAACAGATAATTAGAACTTCAGAAAAGTGGTTAAAGATAAATATAGCTTACACATAGGGTAAAATCTCAGACCCTTCATAGTTTCTGACTTAATAGATACATACACACAGAGATAAAGAAAACAGATGGAAGAATGAGAAGTTAAGAGACATGGAAGACACAGTAAGAAAGTCTACCATAAATCTAGCCAGAGTTCCAGAAAGGAAAATAGAGAAGAATTAATATTTGAAAAGATAACAGCTGGGACTTTTCCAGGACTAATTAAAGACAATAACCTTCAGATTTGAGAATGTCAACAAATTCCAAGCAGAGGTAAAAAGAAATCCACACTAAAATATATCACCGTGTACCATATGGACAAAAAATTGATTTCTCTTTAACAAAAATGAAAATCAGAAGACAGTGGAATGATATCTTCAATGTGCCGATAGAAAATAACCCACAATTCTTTTCTCAGAAAAAAATATCCTTCACATATCAAGGGCCCTGAATTGTACACTAAATTTTTAAAGGTGAATTTCATGGTATATGAATTGTATCTCAATAAAGCTGTCATTATTTATTTATTTATTTATTTCTGAGATGGAGTTCCACTCTTGTTGCCCAGGCTGGAGTGCAATGGCATGATCTCAGCTCACTGCAACCTCTGCCTCCAGGATTCAAGTGATTCTCCTGACTCAGCCCCCTAAGTAGCTGGGATTACAGGCATGTGCCACCACACCTGGCTAATTTTTGTATTTTTAGTAGAGACGGGGTTCTCCATGTTGGTCAGGCTGGTCTCGAACACCCAACCTTAGGTGATCCACCCGCCTTGGCCTCCCAAAGTGCTGGGATTACAGGTGTGAGCCACTGCACCCAGCCTAAAGCTGTTATTTTTAAAAAGCAGCTATAATACAAGCAACAGATAAGTGTTGGCAATGATGTGGGGAAATCAGAACCTTCATAAACTGCTGGTGGGATTCTAAAATGGCATAGCCACTTTGGAAAACAGTCAGGCAGTACCTCAAAAAGAGAAACAGAGTCTCCACATGTATTAGTCCATTTTCATATTGCGATGAAGATATACCTGAGAGTGGGTAATTTATAAAGAAAAAGAGGTTTAATGGACTCACAGTTCCACATGGCTGGGGAGGCCTCATAATCATGGCAGAAGGCAGAGGAGGAGCAAAGGCACATCTTACATGGCGGCAAGCAAGAAAGTGTGTGCAGGGGAACAGCCGTTTATAAAACCATCAAATCTCATAAGACTTACTCTCACAAGAACAACATGGGAAAAACCCACCCCCATGATTCAATTACCTCCCACTGGGTCCCTCCCATGACACATGGGGATTATGAGAGCCACAATTCAAGATGAGATCTGAGTGGGGACACAGGCAAACCACATCAGCATGTAACCCTGCAATGTCACTCCTAGCTATATATGCAAAGGAGTGAAAAATGGGTATTCAAAACAAATAGCTGTACACAAACGTTCATAGGAGAATTAGTCACAATAGCCAAATTTGGAAACCACTCAAATGTCCATCAACTGATGAATGGATAAATGTGTACATCCATTCAACAAAATATTATTTGGCCATACAAAAGAATATGGTACTGACAAATGCTACAATAGTGATGAGCCCTGAAACCATTATGTTAAGTGGAAGAATCCAGTCACAAAAGATGAACTAGTGTATGATTCCATTTATATGAAATGTTTAAGAATAGGCATATCCATGGATAGAGAGTAGTCAGTGATTGCCTAGGGTTGGGAAAGATGAGAGAATTTGGGAATGATGGCAAGGGGTATGCAAGTTTCTCTGTGGGCTGATGAAAATGTTCTAACGTTGATTGTGGTGATGGTTGCACAACTCTGTGAATATATTCAAAGCCAGTGGATTGTACAGTTTCATGGGTGAATATTATATGTGCAATGTATTTCAATAGAGCTGTCACTCAGGCTGGGCACAGTAGCTCATGCCTGTAATCCCAGCCCTTTGGTAGGCTGAGCTGGGGGGATTGCTTGAGCCCAGGTATTGGAGACCAGCCTGGGCAACATGGTGAAACCCTGTCTCTACAAAAAATACAAAAGATTAGCCAGGAATGGTGGATGCCTATTGTCCCAGCTACTTGGGAAGCTGAGGTGGGAGGACTGTTCAACCGGGAGGTCGAGGCTGTGGTGAGCTATGATTTCACCATTACACTCTAGCCTGGATGACAGAGTGTCAAAAAAAGAAATAAATAAAAATTTAAAACCAATAAAGCTATTATTTAAGAAGCAACAAAAAATAAAGATATTTCCAGATTATAAAAAAAAAATAGCCATCAGCAGACTCAAAGTATGGGAATCACTCTGTATTCACATTATAAGGGGTATTCACACAGTATTTGCCTTTTTGGGACTGGCTAATTTCACTCAGCACAATGTCCTCAAGCTTTACCTATGTTGTGACATGTGTCAGAATTTCCTTCCTTTTGTGTGCAGTGGCAAGATCATAGATCAATGCAGCCTCAAATTCCTGAGCTCAAATGATCCTCTCACCTCTGCCTCCAGGAGTAGCTGGGATTACAGGTGCAAGTCACCATACCAGGCTCCTTCCTTTCTAAGGCTGAATAATATTAAACTGCAGATATGTACCACATTTTGCTTATCCATTCAAGGACATTAGGGTTGCTGCCACCTTTTGCCTATTGTGACTAATGCTATTATGGACCTGGGTATACAAATATCTTTTTGAGGATTGCTGAACAATATGGTAATTTAATTTTTAAGGTACCACCATACTATAAATAATGCACAAGGCTTCCCATTGTTCCACATCCTAATTTCTCCACATCCTCAGCAACAAATTTGTTATTTTCTGGTTGTTTTGTTTTGTTTTATAATAGACATTCTAACAGGTGTGAGGTCTTATCCCCTGGTTTTGATTTGTCTTTCTCTAATCATTAGCGATAATGGGCATCTTTTCATGTGCTTTTTGGCCATTTGTGTATCTTCTCTGGTGAAGTATCTATTCAAGTCCTTTCCCCATTTGCTAAATGGGTTATTTGTTGAGCTGTAGGAGTGTTTTGTTTTGTTTTAAGACAGGGTCTCACTCTGTCACCCAGACTGGAGTGCAACAGCTCACGGCAGCCTTGACCTCCCGAGCTCAAGTGATCCTCCCACCTCAGCCTCCTGAGTAGCTGGGACCACAGCAGTGTACCACCACACCTGGCCAATTTTTAAATTTTTTATAGAGACAGGTTTCACCACGTTGCCCAGGCTGGTCTCCAATTCCCAGGCTCAAAAAAATTCTCTCTCCTCAGCCTCCCAAAGTGCTGAGGAGTTCTTTATATATTCTGGCTATTAATCCTTTATCAAATATATCATTAATTGGAAGAGTTTGAGGAAAACTGGGGTTCATTCTCCTTTAAATATTGGTTAGAAATAACCAGTGAGGCCATCCGACCCTGAGCTTTTCTTTGTTGGGTGATTCCTGATTACTAATTCAATCTCCACACTAGTTACAGGTCTGTTCAGATTTTCTGTTTCTTCATGATTCAGTCTTGGTGGTTATGTGTTTTGAGGAATTTATCCATTTCATTTATGTTATCAAATTTGTCGGCATACAATTGCTCATAGTAATCTCTTGTACATCTTTTTACTTCTGTAAATCAGTCATAATGTTCCCTTGTTTACATCTGATTTTAGTAATTTGTATTATTTTTTCTTAGTTCATCTGGCTAAAGTTTTACCAATTGTTTGATCTTTTCAAAGAATCAATTCTGTTTTGTCAATTTCTCTGCTGTTTTTCTATTCTCTATTTTGTTTATCTCTGCCCTAATCTACTATTTCCTTTCTTCTGCTAGCTTTGGGTTTGGTTTGTTCTTTTTTCAGTTCCTTTAAATGTAAAGGTAGGTTGTTGATTTGAGATCTTTCTTTTCTAATGTAAGCATTTGTAGCTGTAAATTTCCTCGCGAGTACTATTTTCACTGTATTCCATGAGTTCTGGCATATTGTATTTTTCGTTTTCATTTGTCTCAAAACATACTTAATGTCTCTTGTTTTCTTCTTTAACCCATTGGTTCCAGTGTCCTTTAAAGTTCCCATCAGGCACTTTCTTATTACCTGGCACAATGTTCACGGTCTTCGTGTACTTTCCCTGCTTCAGCCACAGAATCACCATTTCCCCAAACAGCCTTGATGTCTTTTAATGAAAAAAAAAAAAAAAAAAAAAAAAAAAAAAAAAACTTAAAATCTAAGACCTGAGCACTAGACACAATCATTAGTACTTGCGTATCATTGCTCCTGGGCCCTTTTAGTAGACAGATCTAGGAGATATAAACACATCTATCTATTTTTACATCTACATCTATATATCCATTGATCTATCCATTTATCATAAAACTCACAGAAAAAAAACCATCATATATTTACTCATTTATTCAATCTGAAACTACAGGAAGTAATTTCAAGTTGTTACACTCCTGTCACTAAAAAAGCAAACCTACTAAGAATACAAAATTCCATTGCATTTCTTTCTGTAGATTAGGGTACATATGACTTGATTGGTCAGGCCCACCTCACCTTTGTGGTTTGATTACATTTACGATCAATGTATTCGAATGATTACATTAATCGTTTGAAATAAATTTATTAGTTTGTGTTTGTACTGTTCTTGTGGATTTGATTTTTGAATATAGAAAACATTTACATAGTTCTAACAGTTAAAACTACATAAAAGTCTGTTTTTCCCCACAGTGAAGCGTTCTTCCCACTCCATCCTTTGCCATCCACCTCCTGTGAGTTATCAGTTTAGATAATTTCTGATTTATCTTTCCTGTTTTTCTTTTTTTTTCTTTTTTTTTTTTTTTTTTGAGACGGAGTTTCGCTCTTGTTACCCAGGCTGGAGTGCAATGGCGCGATCTCGGCTCACCACAACCTCCGCCTCCTGGGTTCAGGCAATTCTCCTGCCCCAGCCTCCTGAGTCGCTGGGATTACAGGCACGCGCCACCATGCCCAGCTGATTTTTTGTATTTTTAGTAGAGACAGGGTTTCACCATGTTGACCAGGATGGTCTCGATCTCTTGACCTCGTGATCCACCCGCCTCGGCCTCCCACAGTGCTGGGATTACAGGCTTGAGCCACCGCGCCCGGCCTCCTGTTTTTCTTTTTGCAAAAATGAGGAGACATTAGGGTCTCATGTTTTCCCTTCTTTCTTACATAAAACATAGCACACTGTATATACTCTTTCCATTTATATGTTAGAAATCACTCTATACCCATTTGTAAAGATTTTCCTCATTCTTCTTTATAGCTGTACAGTCCATTGTGTAGATATTTATCAACAAATTTCCTGTATGGACATTTAAGGTATTCTCTGATATTTTACAGTTACAAATAATGCTGCAACAAATAACTTTGTGCATTCATATTTCCCTACTGTTGAAAACGTAAGGCCGGGCATGGCGCCTCACACCTGTCATCACAGTAATTTGGGAGGCCAAGGCAGGACTGCTTGAGTCCAGGAGTTCAAGACCAGCTTGGGCAACATGATAAGACTCCATCTCTATAAATAAATTTTTTTAAGTTAGTCAGGAGTGGTGGCATGCACTTGTGGTCCCAGTTACTCCAGAGGCCAAGGTGGATCAATTGAGCCTGGGAGTTTGAGGCTGCAGCGAACCAAGATCACACTACTGCACTTCAGCCTGGGCAACAGAGCAAGACAAGACCCTGTCTCAAAATAAAAAAAAAAGAAAAAGAAAATGTATCTTTAGGGAATATTCCTATAAGCGGGATGGCTGGGTCAAAGGGGATATGCATGTGTAGTTTGCTGGATTGCCAAATTCTCCCTCAAAGGGGGTTTTATAAGTTTGCATTCCTCACAGCCTCACCAATGGTGCGTCTTGTGAAGATTTCTAATTAGTGCAGAGCTGATAGGTGAGAAATAGTATTTCAGTGCAGCTTTAAATTTACACTTCCTATTTTAGGTAACATTGAATGTTTTCTTCATATATTTAAGGATGGTTTTTAAATCTTTTTAAAAAATTGTATCTGCTCATATATTCTGTCTTTTTAAAAATCAAATGTTAGTATTTTTTTTCTCTCAATTTCGACTGGGGACAGTAGGTCTTTAAAATGTATTTTGCAAATTTTTTTCCTAGTTTCTTACCTATCTTTTAAATTTGCTTATGGTGTTTTTCATTTTTGTAATCAAGAGTTTGTTTTTTAAAGTAGCCCATTTCCCCCCCTCTTTTATTGCCTTTCCTTACATCCAGGTTACAGAAAATTCACCTATGCATTCTTCTAGTAGGCACTTTAAAAAAAAAATTAGGCTGGGTGCAGTGGCTCCCATCTGTAATCCCAGCACTTTGGGAGGCCAAGGTGGGCGGATCAAATGAGGTTGGGAGTTCGAGGCCAGCCTGACCAACATGAAGAAACCCCATCCATACTAAAAATACAAAATTAGCTGAGCATGGTAGTGCACCTGTAATCCCAGCTACTCAGGAGGCTGAGGCAGGAGAATCACTTGAACCCAGGAGGCAGAGGTTGCGGTGAGCCGAGATTGCGCGATTGCACTCCAGTCTGGGCAGCAAGAGGGAAGCTCTGTCTCAAAAAAAAAAAAAAAATATATATATATATATATACACACACACACACACACACACATATGGCTAACGAGTTGTCCAAGCACTATTTATTAAAAAGTCCATCTCTGCCCTAATAAATTCAGAATCACCCTTATCATATGCTAAATTTCTTTATGTGTTTAGGAGACAATTTCTTGACTTTCTATTCTATACTGTTGGTCTACACCACAATATTTTCACAATAGAAATTTTGTATGTTACAATATCTGGAAGTCTACTTTCTCTTTGTAGCCCTTCTCAGTGTTTTCCTAGCTATTCTTGTATGTTTATTTTTCTATATGAACTTTAGAATCAACTTGTCCAGTTCCAGAAAAAAAAAAACCCTGTTGATATTGATACTGCATTAAATTTATATATTAACTTAGGTATAACTGGCCCTTCTATGATGTTGTTGTCCTATCCTAGAACAAATTATTTCTTTTTTTCTTTTTTTTGAAATGGAGTCTTGCTCTGTTGCCAGGCTGGAGTGCAATAGCTTGATCTCGGCTCACTGCAACCTTGGCCTCCTGGGTTTAAGCAATTCTCCTGCCTCGGCCTCCCAAGTAGCTGGAATTACAGATGCGTACCACCATGCCTGGCTAATTTTTGTATTTTGTAGAGACGGGGTCTCACCATGTTGGCCAGGATGGTCTTGATTTCTTGACCTTGTGATCCACCGACCTCGGCCTCTGAAAGTGCTAGGATGACAGGCATGAGCCACCTCGCCACCAACAAACAATTTCTTTTCATTTGTTTAAGGGTACTGTTGTGTAATTTAGAAGTGTTTTAAAGATTCCTTCACTTAGGTTTTACATGTTTTTAAATTCCTAAATACTTTTTTCTTTTTCTTGTTGCTGTAAATGGGATTTTACCCTCCATTATATATTCAAACTTGTTATTTGTGTAAATGAAGACTACTGATTTTTGTATATTCTTATAAAATTCCTTTTTTGTTTGAGTTAATTTCATTATTGATTTTCTGCAGCATTCCAGATACACTACCAAATCATCTGCAAGTAGGGACAGTATTATTTTTTATTTTCCAAATCTTGTGCCGATAATTGATTTATCTAACTGCACTGGCTAAGTCCCTAGAACAATGTTAAATAGAAGTGGAGTTGGTGAGTATCTTTACCTTTTTCTCAATCTTAGTAAAAATGCGTCTAGTATTTTCCTATTAGATAAAATACTAGCTTTACTCTATGTGTGTGTGTGTGTGTGTGAGAGAGAGAGAGAGAGAGAGAGAGAGAGACAGAGAGAGAGAGAGAGAGAGAAAGGGAGGGAGGGAGGGAGAAGGAGAGAAAAAATACCACTACTAAGAAGTATTAATTAGCCAGGTGTGATACCTCATGCCTGTAATCCCAGCATTTTGGGAGACTGAGGTGGGCAGATCACCTGAGGTCAGGAGTTTGAGATCAGCCTGGCCAACATAGTGAAACCCCGTCTCTACTAAAAATACAAAAAAAAAAAAAAAAAAAAAATTCTTAAGTGACTGCAGTAGGCAGAATAATGTGACCACCACCACTATCACCATCTCCCACACCCATCCAAAGATGTGTATATCCTGATCCTTGGATGTGAATATGCTTGGTTACATGATAAAGGTGAATTACCGTCATATGGAATTAAGACTGCTAATAAACTGGCCTTAAAATAGGAAGATTATCCTGGACTAAGCAGATGGACCCAATGTAATCACAAGTGTCTTTTCAAGTGGAAGTGGAAATAAGATGACAGATCAGAGAGACGGCAACTTGAGGAGGACTCAAAGTTGCTAGCTTTGATAATAGAGGAGGAAAGCCAAGAGTCAAGGAATATGAATAGTCTCTAAAAGCTGAAAAGTTTCTGGGCTACTTGGGAGTCTGAGGCAGGAGAATCACTTGAACCCGGGAGGTGGAGGTTGCAGTGAGCCGAGATTGAGCCACTGTACTCCATCCTGGGTGACAGAGTGAGACTCTGTCTCACAAAAAATAAAAAGCTGAATAGGGGAAGGAAATGGATTCTGCCCTAGAGCCTCCAGAAAGGAACTCAGCCTGCCAACACCTTGACTTTAGCCTAAAGAAACCCATTCAGACGTCTGAACTACAAAACTGTAAGATAATAAATCTATGTTGTTGTTTTATTTGTTTTTATTTATTTATTTTTTTTGTGAGAGAGTTTCACTCATGTTGCCCAGGCTGGAGTGCAATGGCGTGATCTCGACTCACTGCAACCTCTGTCTCCTGGGCTCAAGTGATTCTCCTTCCTCAGCCTCTTGAGTAGCTGGGATTACAGGTGCGTGCCACCATGCCTGGCTAATTTTTGTATATTTAGTAGACAGGGTTTTGCCACGTTGGCAGGCTGGTCTCAAACTTCTGACCTCAGGTGATCCACCCGCCTCAGCCTCCCAAAGTGCTGGGATCACAGGTGTAAGCCACCTCGTGTTGTTATTTTTAAACAGAGACGGGGCTCACTGTGTTGCCCAGGCTGGTCTTGAAATTCTGGGCTCCAGTGATCCTCCTCTCTTGGTCTCCTGAAGTGCTGGAATTACAGGCATGAGCCACTGTTCTCAGCCTCTATGTTGTTTTAAGCCACTAAATTAATGGTAATTTATTACAGCAGCTATAGAAAACTAATACAGTGAGTTTAGGTAGATTGCTGGAGACAAGGTCAATATATAAAAATAAACTTTTTCTATATCACCAACAAACAAAAAATAAAATGTCAGAAAACTTATTTACGAATATGTAAAATATTTAAATACCCAGCCAGGCACAGTGGCTCATGTCTGTAATCCCAGCACTTTGGGAGGCCAAGGCAGGTGGATCACTTGAGGTCAGGAGTTTAAGACCGATCTGGCCAACACAGTGAAACCCCGTCTCTACTAAAAATACAAAAATTAGCAGGGCAGTAGTAGCACATGTCTATAATCCCAGCTACTTGGGAGGCTGAGGAAGGAGAATCATTTAAGCCTGGGAGGCAGAGGTTGTGGTGAGCTGAGATCATGCCACTGCTCTCTAGTCTGGGCAACAGAGTGAGACCCTGTCTCAAAAAAAAAAAAAAAAATTGAATACCCAAAATTATATCTAACAAACTATGTCCATGACATCTATTCAGAAAATTGGGCCAGGGACAGTGGCTCATGCCAATAATCTGAGCACTTTGGGAGCCCAAGGTAGGAGGATCACTTGAACTGAGGAGTTTCAGAGCAGCCTGGGCAACACAGCAAAACCCTGTCTCTACAAAAATACAAAAATTAGTTGGTCATGGTGGCACGTGCCTATAGTCCCAGTTACTTAGGAGGCTGAGGTGGGAGGATCACCTGAGCCCAGGAGGTTGATTGTAAGCTGTTACTGCACCACTCATTCTAGCCTGGGTGACACAGCAAGATCCTGTCTCAAAAAGAGAAAAGAAAATTGTAAGTCATTAAGAGAAGTCAAGGAGGGAGGAAACAATCATATGAACCATATTCACATTGGAGGACGGTATTGAGATGCTACTTCTCTCCAAATTGATCTATAACTTCATGCGTTCTAATCAAAAGTCCAGCTTTTTTTTTTCTGGAGGAATTTAATAGCTAAGTTCAATACTTTGCTAGAACTCATGGGACCCAGCGTACAGCTGTACTCACGGCTAACATTTATTATATCAACACTTTAAGGATACACAGCCAGATCAGCAAGGGGAAAAAAAAATATCAGGTAGCATCTGTAGGAATTCATGTGTAGGCTTCCAATGCTCTCTAACTCCTGAGAAAGTACATGCTCTCTCGGTGAAAATGCAGCTATGTGTGTGCAATGTTTCTGCCCAAAAGTAGCTGTTAGAGACTCAGAATCTAGGGTTCTTATTGGGAGCTCTTCACTTAGGTACCTTCCTCCCACCAAAATTTCAGACTCCAAGAAGGAAACAGGTATTAGTAGCTACAGAGGGCAAAACAACCTGATTAGTGTAGACAAGGTTTCAAAAGCCAAGTTCCCAGGCACAACCAGGGACCAATTTTGCAAGCAGGCTTTGCTGAAGGTAAGAGTTTCAATCTGCTCTATTAGCTCATTCATGTACAAGTTATGTCTGTGAAATATAACATACAATAATTTGTAATAGAGGATGTTTTTAAAAATAGTGCAAATCAGGCCGGGCGCGGTGGCTCAAGCCTGTAATCCCAGCACTTTGGGAGGCCGAGGCGGGTGGATCACGAGGTCAAGAGATCGAGACCATCCCGGTCAACATGGTGAAACCCCGTCTCTACTAAAAATACAAAAAATCAGCTGGGCATGGTGGCGTGTGCCTGTAATCCCAGCTACTCAGGAGGCTGAGGCAGGAGAATTGCCTGAACCCAGGAGGCGGAGGTTGCGGTGAGCCGAGATCGCACCATTGCACTCCAGCCTGGGTAACAAGAGCGAAACTCCGTCTCAAAA